ACCGGCAAGAATCGGATGTCGAGTCGCCGGTGCACACAATCCGGTGATAGTCGACAGACACCCATAAACTTCGTGTCACCCAATGATAGCCTATGGGTAATGAGTGCCCGCTTTTCCATACGTCGGACCAGATCTTTGAGATAAGTATTGGTTTTGTAAAGCATTTGTTCGGATGTCATCTTCTGGTGAGTGATGAGGACATCGATGTCTCCGCTCTCTTGCGCTCCCCTTCTATATGACCCGCAAATGGTTAGCAAAAGGTTTGCATTGAACTCATGGGCTATGTCTACAAGAATTGTCTCAATCTTTTGGATCTCATTTCGGGGTATCTTTTGCTCGAATTCGTCCACATATTTGAGACCAATCTTCTGGTGGTCTGTCAAAGTGTGGGCCACTGTCTTGAGCTTCTCGATGGTGTCGATGCCATCGGCGCACAGTTTGGCCGCAATCTTGGGACCAATTCCTGACACTCGCAGCAATTCATTGATTGATTGGCTTTTGTCCGATTGTCTCACTCTATCCAACTGTCTGTTGGATCCGTTGGTGACGAAGTCCACGATCTTAACGGCAATCTTATCGCCGACTCCGGCCAACCCTTTGGCCTCTTTGGCCGATTGGATGCGTTTGGGATACTCTTTGACACTTTGGGCCGCTTTGCGGTACATCTGATACTTGAATCGGTTTTGATTGACATTCAGCTCGTGTTTCCCCAACTCTAGCAACATATCACTGATGTCTTCGTTTGGATGCGTTTGGGATACTCTTTGACACTTTGGGCCGCTTTGCGGTACATCTGATACTTGAATCGGTTTTGATTGACATTCAGCTCGTGTTTCCCCAACTCTAGCAACATATCACTGATGTCTTCGTTCACACTCTTCACTGCCATCACTGACATCACTGACACTATCTGTCACTGCAATCACCACTACATCCACACAATTGGCCACAAATTCAAACAATTGTCTCAACAATACGTCAATATTATGATCACAACTCACACATCAATTACGACCAATGGGTCCATCACTTGAAACTTGCATTCATTTGGATTTGTTTTATTGAAATACTATTTAGAAGATAATCCACACATTAATGCACTACTAGTGCTGTATATTATACAATTTGTCCTGGGCAATATATTATCATATAATTGATAACTTATGACTCATAAGTTATGAGCAAGCTACAAGATATATGTTGAGTATATCATTCACACAATTCTTCTAAAATAACTTATACTGTATATCAGCAAACATAATTTAATTGGCAGAGTGTCCAGGTAATACTTGTATAATTTAATTGGCAGAGTGTCCAGGTAATACTTGTATAACAGATCATCTACACTACCATGTATACTCACTACCACAAGTTTCCCAATAGCCTTTATTCTTATCTATACAGTAGTACAGTAGATATTAGTTACATACAAAAGTTGTAATAATATTTGCATTTCACACAAAAGTTTGAAACAATTAATATTACGGTCCTGCAATTTCAATACAGTAATTATACTTATGATAATAGAAACAACTAATAATAATAATTATTATTTTTGTTTGAATGTCAAGTGTATTTCAATTACTCGGCAAATATGGTTGA